ATGATACATATTTCAAAAGTTTTCATAAGTTCAATTGTATCTAGAAATATAAATACAAAGTTTAATAAGCATCATAATTCATAATACATAATATTTTCTTAAAAAATGGGTTAAACATAAGACATAATCAAAAGAAATCAAAGTTGTAAGTAAACATAAGTATATAGATAAAACATATTATCCACATAAACTAAATGAAGTACATAAGTGATTGTACACATAAAGGTAAGTTGAACATATACATAAAAGGTAAGTTTGTATTAATATCATTAATGTAACCATAACTTCATATTCTCGGGGCTAGAGACTCCTTCGAATGGTCTCTGGGTTATTTGAAAGTTATCAACATCTGTAATTAGATACCTATCATTTTCTAAAACTTTCTTAACCTCGTAAGGCCCACGATACTTAGGAATTAACTTCTTATTAACACCTGGGGTTACGTCAGTATTTTTAATCATAATGTAGTCGCCAGTTGTATATTTATAAGGGGGGTTTATGCTTTTTGTCAAAATATTGTTTATTGTACTCTTGTACCTTAGCATTCTGGCGCTGTGCGTCTTGCCTAATTTGTTCTAAGTCTCTGTCATAAGGGGTTTCGGAATCTAAAAAGTCTCTAAGTTCATCTTGGTCTCTTTGGTTTACACCAAACAATAGCATGGAAGGGGTATTAGCAATAGATCGGCAATAAGAATTATTTATAGCAAACTCGACTTCAGGCAAATATTTGGGCCATTTATTTTTAACTTCAACTAACTTTGACAACATAGGGGTCAAATCTCTATTAATTCGCTCAATCTGACCGTTTGATTGTGGGGAACTTGTGGCAATCTTAACATGTATAATATTGTTTTTAGTCATAAAACTTTCAAATTCTAAGGACGTAAAAGCAGTTCCTCGGTCTGACACAATTCTTAAAGGGCGGCTATAATTTTTAAAATATTCTTCTAACTTATGAATTACTTCGATGGTTTTAGTGGTTTTTACATCGTAAAGCTTGACAAATTTTGTAAAACCATCTATTATCTCAAAAACGAATTTTTTATTTGTAGGAGACTTTTCTAATGGACCATAATGATCAATGTGGAGGGTCAAAAATGGTTTGTCACCTTTAGGTATACCATGTAAAACACCTTCTGCCCTTTTTGCTGAATAAGATATACATTTAATACAATTTTGTATATATTCTTTAACCTTAAGATTTAAGTTTGGAAACCAATAAACTCTAGAAATGTATTCTGTGGTTTTGTCTATCCCTAAATGTCCTAACATGTCGTGGCAGTGAAAAATGACTTTATTCTCCATGGAACTTGGTACATAAAAAAGGGTTTTTGTCCTATCCTTGAATTTGCGGTAAACCAGACCATTTCTCAACTCAAAATGTTTATCTTCTCCTACTAAAAGTTTGTCTCTAATAATCTTAATGTTAGAATCTAAGTTTTGAGCAATAGAAAGGTTTTGTTCAAAAGTGTTTTCCTCCAAAATCAGAACACTATTTGCACGACTAAGGGCATCGACATGCTTCATGCGGTTGCCTTCTCTGTGTTCCAAAACATAATTATAATTCTGAAGGATTAAAGCCCATCTATTAATTCGACGGTTAATTTCCTTTTTATTTAAGGCTAATTTTATGGAATTACAGTCCGTTAAAATCTTAAAGTTTGGCATACCTTGTAAATAAACTCTGAATCTTTCAAGGGCGTTCACAATGGCAAGCATTTCTAGTTCGTAACTATGCATTTTAGATTCTGGTTCTGATGTTCTTTTGCTAAAATAAAATACAGGTTGCAAAAGATTATTTTTTTGCCTTTGCAAAAGTATAGCACCATAACCGACAGAGCTTGCGTCACAATGCAATTCAGTTTCCAAGGTGGGCGAAAAAATAGCAAGAACAGGGGCGTTAATTAATTTGGTTTTCAGAATATTGAAGGCCTCTAACTGGCTGGGGCCAAACTCAAAACATTTTTCTTTTCTCAATAAATCATAGAGAGGTTTGGCTAAAACAGAAAATGAGGGTATGAATCTTCTAAAATAAGAGGCCAATCCTAAAAATTGCTGAACTTTCCTGGTACTAGAAGGAATTGGGTAATCTAGTAAAGCTTGTACGTTTTGGGGATTTGGCCTAATCCCATTGCAATCTATGATATAGCCTAAATATAGTATTTTGGATTGTAAAAAAGAACATTTACTTATTCGTAACTCGAGTAAATTTCTAGTTAGCAGGGAAAAAACTTCTGAAAGGATACTTAAGTGAGTTTCTATATTAGTTGTCGCTATCAAAATGTCATCTAAATAAATTAATATTTTTCCTTGTCTAATTAAGTCCTTAAAAATTCTGTTTATAAACCTCATAAAAACAGAGGGTGAATTGGATAGACCAAAAGGCATTTTGAGGTATTCGAACTGACCAAGTGGGCAAATAAAGCTAGTGTATTTCACTGAGTCAGTAGCTACTTTAACCTGGTGGAATGAATTTTTCAAATCTAAGGAGGTAAAATAATTTTTATTCTTTAAAAGGTCTAATTGGTCGTCGATGAGAGGGATTGGATAATTGTCTCTAATGATAATTTGATTAATTACTCGATAATCTACACAAAGTCTTTTTGTGCCATTCTTTTTATTTACCATAACTATTGGGCTGCAATAAGGCGAATTACTTTCCCTAATAACTTCTTTGACTAACAAATAATCAATGTTTTTTTGTAATTCTAATTTCTCATCATAAGCTAACTTTCTTGGCCTAAATGAAATTGGTTGGTCATGCTTCACGGAAATATTCATTTCAAAGTCAATCTGAGGTTGCTGGGGCCTATCAGCATTGAAATATTCATCAAACAGAAGAGTTTCAACTTTATTAATCATTTTAGGACCCAAATCTAAATTTATGTCTAAATTCAATAAATCATTCTGGTCATAATCAATTAAAAGTAGTTCATTAACGGCAGGATTATTATCAGGTTCACGAACAGTTTCAGTGTTGGGAGTGAAATTCCTTTCAATTAAAATATTATCAGTTAATAATGTGACTTTAAGGTTAGACAAATTGGTAAAATCTCTACCGATCAATGCATTAAAGGACATAGTTTCATCAGAGACTACGTAGAACGTTATGGGTACATTAACTTTATTTACAAAAACAATCCCATTGAAAACACCTAAAATATTCAAGTTAGTACCATTAATGCCATAATATTTTTGCTTACAATCAAAATCTCTTCAAATACATAAATCGGGTAAACAATTCTTTTTTACTAGGCTTATCGGACTTCCAGTATCCAACATTGCTTTTAAATAAATACTATTTGAAATATTAGCAGTATTAAATTCCAAAATAAGGTCAAGTTCATACACTTTACATAAATTTGTTACCTGAGGAATCAAATCTTGCATTGGTTCTTGAACCATACAATTACCATGGCTAGCAGGATCAATAATCATTGTAGAAGTAGAGTCAATGGCTGCTGACTGTGCAGGCTTCTTCAAGGGACAATTTTTAACTTGATGGTCTCTTCTTCCACAAGTGAAGCAAGAACCTCTTTCTCGCTTTGGCTTGGGGCAGGCATCCATACAATGGCCTGTTTCAAAGCAATTAAAGCACCTCCGTTGTCTGGGGCTAATGCCACTAGCAGAACCAATATTATTCGAGTGTGTCACACCAACATTCGAACTTGGACCATTTCTTGCATTTCTACCAGTCATATTTGGGTTTTGGACAGCAGTTGGGTGAGGGTGGTTTCTTTCAGTTTGGTTTACATTGCACATAATACGTAATAGTTCGTCTAAGCTTTGGAAATCTTTCATTCGGGCCTGAGATTTCAGTGATTCGTTTGTAAACCCATCAATAACATAGTCAATAAGATCTGACTCTGATAGGTTTAGGCTGTTTCCTAACATAATCTTATTATGGAAATACACAGAAAATTTCTCACCCCTTTTCCACTCTCTTTGTTCGAACTGTCTCATACGTGCAACTTTATCCGGACGTGAGGCAAACATTTTCCTAAGTTCCACCTTTAATTCGTTCCAATCCAACAAAACTAGATCGGTTTTTGAATGGTACCATAACTTGGCTTGCCCAGTGAATTTTCCAACTGCTATAAGGGTCATTATTTTCGAATCAACATTATAGGTACGTTCCACAGCTTCCACTCGTTGGAGCCATGTTTCAATATCTTGGCCAATGCCAGTAAAATCAGGTAATAGCATAGCAATTTCATCATTCTTATATATTTTATGTTGCTGTAATGGCTGGGGAGGGGCTTGTGGCAAAGAAGCCCTAGATCCACCTAATCTTTCATATGAAATCATTGCCCTAACGGTGGCTTGGACGATTTCATCAATTGTGGCAGCAGGAGAACGATCATGCTGCTGGTCGTGGGAATCATGAAAATGATTGGGGCTGTTGCGGTCCTGGTCGGACTCACCATCATTTATTCCATCCATACTGGCTTGGCTATCACAAAATTCACTAATTTTAATCACGATTTTTCCTTGCAACCCCACACCTGAACTGTAGTAAGGAGGGGTTTTTACTACGGATTGTTGCAGAGGAAAATAATCGATGAACACAACTAATTTAAATAGACTTTAATAATCATAATTGGGAGCAAAAACTAATTAACATAACTTAATAATGCACGTTTTCGTTCTGGAATCTAATAGAATGTCCGCGCCAAAAACTGGCATTGACATTGTCACTTTTTGCGGGATGTCACTTCTGTCATCACCGAGAGCAGTGTTGCCAAATCAAAAATAAGACGGTAAAGAAGAGAACTGTAAATTGGCGCGCGAAATTCAAATTTAAATGCTACAAAAATGTGTTTTGTTCTGCGTTTTTCTGCTGAAACTTCAATATAAACTGTCCTAAATGGGCGTGAGAATGCATTTCAACATCAAAATTGATATGTAGTCTTGCATGTGTTTTACAATAAAAGGACCTCAATCCTGAGTTACATTCTAGTAATAAATTATAATATTATTATGTACATTATTATTTTCAGCTTCCTTTCATTAACCAAAGTCATTATCAAGACATAGTGGAGGAAAGGGCCATAACCAAGCTTTGTGGCTATTCGATTTGCGGCAAACGTATTCCAGACATGCCGAAAAAACAGTATTTTATTTCCACCAAGAGCAATAAAGTGTACGATATTACCGAGAGAAAGAATTTTTGCAGCAATTTTTGCTACAAGGCCAGTATGCACATAAAAAAACAGATAGATAATAGTCCTCTATGGCTCAGGACTTTGGAAAATATTCCTGAATATAAGTTACTAAACTGTTCTGATGGGTAATAATTTTTGAAATGTGGGTGTTTGATTTAATAGATTTTGTTTTCAGGGGTTTGCCAGGTGAATATATTGATCAAGGAATAGTTAAGCCGGTAGAAGGAGAAAGAAAATTCACTTCAATAAATTCCTTTGCTCATGCTTCTCTTGGTGATATTATGGAGCCAGAAAAAGATAAAAATCAAAAGAAGGGAGGTTTCAAAAAGCCTGTGTCCAGGCTAAAGTCCACCATGCAAACTATTAAAGAAAGTGACGACGTTGAAGAGGAAAATTCTCTCAATGATTGTGCCAAAAAGAGTCTTAAAAAATCTGGAAAGCATAATATAAACAAGAGACATTCTATAGTTAGTTTGCCTTCCATAGAGGAAAATGAGGAAAGGCTTAAAGAAAATGAAAATGTTACCGATGATAAAATCAAGCAAGAAAGACTGGAAAACGACTCGAGGACTGAAGACCAGTTGGAAAAGAAATTAGAAAAAGTTATTATCAAAGATAAACCTAAGAAAAAAAACACCAAAAAACGTGTGGTAGATGTGGAAAGTATAATAAAGAAAGTCATAAATGAGTGGGTCACTCTGGAAACTTGTATATTTATTCATGGTGAAGAAAAAGTTAAGCGCATTTTAAATGAACATAAATTAAGTGACTACTTTGATAGGTTGCACATAGAAGAGATGCAAATGGAGCAACAGATGCGATATATGGACATTTGTAGGTAAGTCATGATTTTTTAAGAAAGTGTGGACAAGACGATGTTTGATTAATTTGTAGGCGACTACATCTACAAGAAATGGCAGACGATAAGTTCGACGGAGTCCTAACAGGTACCAGAAAATTAAAACCTCTCCCAGACTTCAAGAAATTAAGAGAAGACGCTGAAGAGATGAAGTTAAAGGTAAATTGTAACATAATTTGGTGATTATCAATATTAGAAAAATGCAACCAAACTGTACTCATTTCTTATTTTTTTTTTAGGTGAAGTCGTTTTATGATGGCACTATGTATGAACAGGACGATAAAAATTTTCCACAAGAAACCAAAAGTAAAGCTGAACCACCTCCGGAAGAAGTTTCTGTAGCAGTTTTACCTCCTGTAGACGCAAACTCGCAAAACCTAATGAGACGCAAAATATTTTTAAATTCTTTAATGAAAACGTAAGAATTTGAAATTGATAATTTTATTGTCTTTAATGTTTGTTTTTTCCAAAATAGGATACAACAGCTTATGCAAACACTTGGCACTTCTTATACAATAATATGGCCAGATTTGCAAGCTCTGGTGAGAACTTTTAGTCTGAGGGCAGACAATATTACATTTAAACCATTCGTATGGAATTATATAGGTTTAGTTTTGTTAAATTTGTAAGTGATTTAATTTAAATATTTTTAATATTTTTTTAAATTAATTATTTTGTAGGCTTTCTTGGAAAGATGAATCCTTGAAAAACATTTTGGAAGAACCTAGAGCTCAAGAATACATAAACATGCTAATTGAAAGTCTTCCACATAAAAAAGCCTTTATTAATGATGTACTGGACAATTTTAGAGATTTGGAGGTGTTTGTTGAACAATATATCACCAAGGATGATTCCATTCAGTGATACCAATGTGTGATCTCTTTTTTAGTGTCAAGAATATAAACTATATTAGAAAATAATATAATTAAGTATTCTGCATCAGTTTGGTTTTGTTTATTTACCACGGATAAGGAAGTACCTACTTACTGAGCATTCTATACTTAGAACATAGAACAGGTAAAGCGCTTTCCTACGGACATAAGGAGTAGGAACGCGCCATTCTGCTTATGAAACTAAAGTGAAGCCAAGTTTTTCTTGGGCTGAAACTGTCAACACAACCGATGAAGAACTTCAAATAGCTCTGACAAGTCAATTCATTAGCAGGCAGTTGGACCTTGATCAGTTTCATATCTACACCGCGAATCAAATTTCTCAGAAATCTCCGTCACCGCATAGCAAGATTCCTGAAATCAGAAGTAATCACCTTTTCAGAGGAAGAAAAAGTAATAGAAAATTAATGTAAGGAGGGAGTAGGCAGACATTTTCCATTATCCAAACATGTCCCCCTGACCTTTACAAACCAGCTCAAACACCATATTAAAACAAAAGATGAGATATCAGTGTGTACCAAGTCATATAGATATCCATAAAGAGGAAGTGAAAAACCAGATATCTTCAATGTTGGAACAAGGAATTATCAAACCAAGCCAGTCACCTTGGTCTTCCCCGATATGGATAGTTCCAAAAAAAACAGACGCCTCTGGAAAAATAAAATGGCGGATAGTAGTGGACTATAGGAAAGTAAACGAGAAAACTATCGACGATAAATACCCCATTCCAAACATAACAGACATTTTGGACAAACTTGCCAATACTTCACGTCCTTGGATCTGGCAAGTGGTTCCCACCAAATCGAAATGGCTAAGGAAGATATATCCAAAACTGCTTTCAATATCGAAAATGTCCATTACGAGTACGTCCGGTGCCGTTTGGACTAAAAACGCTCCAGCTACGTTCCAGAGGGTAATGGATAAGGTTTTGAAAGGCCTCCAAGGCGAAAATTGCTTAGTGTACATGGACGATATCATTTAGTTAAGCACATCACTTGAAGAACATCTGGTTTATCTTTCGAAATTCAAATGAACAAATAATGCGAGTTCCTTAAAAAGGAAGTTGCTTTTCTTGGACATATACACCAGAAGGAATAAGACCAAATCCGGCTTAAATTAAAGCCATACTTACCGCGAACCACGAAGAAAATTTGAGGATTTCTGGGCCTCCTTGGATATTACAGAAACTTTATCAAGGACTTGGCTAAAATTACTAAACCTCTATTGCCTCAAAAAGGACGATAAAATAGAACTAACACCATAATTTTTGAACTGCATTAAAACTGGCAAAAATTTACTGACAAGTCAACCTTTTCCGCAATTTCCAGACTTCAGCAAGTCTTTTAATCTAACTACTGATGCTAGCAACTATGCAATTAGAGCTATACTATCCCAGATACCAATCGGCAGCGATTAGTCCATTGCATACGCCTCTAGGATACTCAACGAAACCGAGTTCCAACTAAATATTTCAATATTCCACCATTGAAAAGGAAATGTTAGCCATAATCTGGGGCACCAAGTACTTCAGACTCTACTTGTTTGGAAGAAAGCTCAAGATACTTTCAGATCACCGTGCTCTCCAATGTCTTTTTTCCATGAAAGACAATAATTTCAAAAAACTTAGATGGCGTTTAAAAGTAGAAGAATTTGCTTATGAGATAATCTATAAGAAAGGAAAATCAAACACCAATGCAGATGCTCTGTCCAGAGTCGAAATCCATACCAAAGAAATAACCCAACCACCACAAGACGGAGATAATGCATCTTTGTACAACAATGCAGAATGAATCCTCGACATAGACGAAGTTCTAAAGAAACCCGCTCGCAAGCGAAGATACAAAAAGGTCATCAGCGAAATCCTTGATAATCTAGAACCCACACAATTTAACTAACCCAAACTAGACACACTGCTCAGGAAGAACCTATACTCGGCATCTCAATCAGCGAATGAGCCCTTAACTACTACAATAACCAAATTGTCAAATCAAGTCTGTATTAATTATAATCCAGCAAAGCCGATAATCGAAGTAGCCTTCCCTAACAAATCCAGGCTACATGTCCAAGTAAGCAAGAAAAACTTAGAAGGAAGCTTTATAAAGCTTCTTAAAGAAAAAATAGACCCCAAAAAAAAGTATGCAATATTCTTTAAGGACGAAAATCGTTATGTTACTCTATGCAGCATTCTTGAGAAACTTAAAAAATCTCCATTTGACTTTATCAAATGCTATTTTCTCCTAGAAGACGTCAATAGCAAAGAAAGACAAAGTAAAATAATCCAGGCCTTATTATTATCATTGTTATTAAGGAAACCAAAGCGCAAATCCGAAAGAAATATTTATTACTGGCCTAAACCAGATATCAAAAATATCATAAATGTTTGCGACACCTGTCAGTCATACCTAGCTGTCAGTCTAACAAATACTATAGAAATCCAGCCAAACATAAATTCATGATTACTCAACACCAACTAGACCTTTGGAAATTATTCATCTAGATACTTTCAAGCCGGAGGGAAAAGTTTTCAACAATTTTTGATTCCTTCCAGCCCTCCAGGCTTTTGAATAAAAGTGTAGCGCCCTTTCGGTTTTTCCTTTTCTTGCTTTAACGGTTATCTCGGGCGCCACCCTCAGGATTATTGTGGTTGAGGGCCCACGTGCACCAGGTAGCTTGTTACAGTGGAGATCAGGGGTCGAATCAGATGCTGGAAGTTATTCCTTCTATACCTCCTGTAAATCCTCCAGAAAACTCCAAAGGAAGACACATGAAATCACGATTAAGCTCTGGTATTTATTGCTATAAATTTATGTCAATAAGGCAATTCCTATCGTAAAACATAACATTCCTTAAGCAGAGTGAATAGAGTGAATGAAGCGGGCGTGCAATGGAGAGAGTGAAAATGTGTATGTGTGCGTGCGTGTAGATTAATGATAACGGGCGGTTTATAAGCAAGCGGTGAGTAACAGAAAATAAGAAGCGGTCAAGCAAGCGGTGAGCAACAGAAAATAAGAAGCGGTCATGCAATACAAAAGCGGTTAGATCTTAACGGTTTTAACTGGTTCGAATACTGATGTATCCGTTTCACACTTAAGTAAGACATTTCGGAAACAGACATGAATTTACTTGGTTGGTCAATACGGTAACCTTAAATCGGTTAGAATCAACCGCAACGGCGGTGGAAATAAAGCCCTGTCCGTACACATGAACCGTGACAGTATACATAATATCTAAGAGAAAACTATCCATACACATGAACCGTGACAGTTTATAGAACCTTACACTATGTCGTGACAATAAAACATAAACCAATATATGAAAAGAAACTGTCCGTACACGTAAACCGTGACAGCTATAAAACTTTAAACTTTGTGAAAATAAATCTCTTGGAGAAAACTGTCCGTACACATAAACCGTGACAATTTATAGAACTTAACTTTGTAAAAATAAATATCTTAGCGAAAACTATCCGTACACATAAACCTTGATAGTCTATAGAATCTTAAACTCTGTCCGTCCAAGTGAACCGTGACAGTAAAACAAAAATATAGTTTACCAACCAAGTATTAATGAAAAATAACTGACTCGCGTAGCGGTGAAACAGGTACCACTCGGTATTTCGGAGAGAAGGGCTACCTCAGTATTCGGTGGAAGTGGGAAGCGTCTAGGTACTTAGTTGGTGGACTCGGGCCAGACTGACTTAACCCAACGCCGTTCGTTTGTAAGGAAAACGCTCGACGATGGAAGGGCAAGCTTCGTGGGAGAAAATACCATGGTGCGCGCTTCGGCTACCATAGGTCCAAAGCCAGCGATGCAGCCTCGAGCGTGCGACCAACCAAACTGCTATTTGCACCGAGGTCACGCGTAAAATATTACTATATTTAGAAATGAATAATATTTCAGAGATATTCAAGAAAGCCGCGCTTCTTCTTAAAATCAAAGAAAAGTCGTGTGCCTTTAGTTACACAAATAATTAAAAATACGATAATCAGGTAAAATCATTACCGCGGGATTGACCGAAAATTACCTAGAGCAAATAGTTGAATTAAAGTCAATTAATTAATTAAATTGAAGTCAGAGACTCACACATTTTCGGAAAAAATCTGGTAATTCCGTTACAAAAGAGTAACCTTGATAAATAATTCACATATAAAAAATGCCAGATACTTGTCAATGGCTGAAAAAGTGGGGATGGATGTCAACTTGCAAGAGAAAAGTATAGAACTCTCCGCATTTAAATTCTGTCTGGCAATCGAGAGAATGAAAGGTTTTGCTGTGAAAATAAGGCTGAAAAATCGGCAGACGGTAATCATGGTTCGAAATCGAGCAAATGCGCAAAAAAAATCCGTGGACATTTTGAACGGGGAGCAGGCATTAAAACCACTTATATTCTCATCAGTTAACTAGCCACATTCATGGCCATTTGCACTGCTATCACTTAATGGATATTTAATCTAAGTGAAGCTTTGGATGTGACTTTTGTTTCTACAAGAGTCATATTCAAAGCTTCACTTGGATTAAATATCCCTTAAGTTATAGCGGCGTAAATAAATGGCCGTCGCCCTCAAAATGCCAGACAAAAAAAAATGACTCCACTAAACAGTCACTGTCTCAGGGTCTATCAGTGAATGATCTTAATGCCCTTCTAATCTTCATAGCTCATCATGGAATTGGAATAACACGCATACCTAACAGTCACCGATAGTGGAACAGAATTTAAGAATGGATTTATACAGGAATTTGTAGATACACATAAGATAACCATCTATTATACTACCCCTGATAACCCACAATTCAACGGGATGATAGAAAGATTTCACTACACCATTATCGTCTATCGAACGCCTGAAGATATTTCGAGAAAATAAATAATCCTTAAAGGGGGTGTGCGCCAAAAATTAAAGTTTTAGTGTGAAAAAATCTAAGAATAACTGTTCAAACCTCGTTATTCTACGATAAACCATCGCTGAGATATACCGCTTTAAAGTGTGGACGACGCTCTCATGACGTCACGAAAACTTCTTCCAGTCGCGCTCCGCATTGT